GTGTGTCTGCACCTGGAAGTCACGTTGACCTCTGGTGAGTGGCCCCTACTAGGGGCCTGGAGAATATTCAGAGAGGTGGCTGAATAAAGCCTGCCTCTGTCCTCCCAACTTGGTATTCCAAGGAAGTCTCCCATCCAAGTACTAACCACAGTCATCCCTGCTTAGCTTCTGAGATCTGATGAGATCAGGCTTTCCTAGGCTGTCCAGGTCAGGATTTGATCTCATTTTCAGAGCCGTCATTAATCCCTGGGGTCCTTCCCTGTGCTACATATGCACACCAGGCCCTCTCCCATCCGAGCTCCTCTCTCATAGTATGCAGCCTGAGGGGAAGTGGAACAATTTCTGTTCTGTGCTGTGTGTGGTGGGCCAGGGCCTCTGATCACAGCAAGAGCCACAAGAAGAAGACAAAGAAGAGAAGAGATTGGATTTATATCCCGCCGTTCACTACCCCGAAGGAGTCTCAGAGCGATTTACAATCCCTTTCCCTTCCCCTCCCCACAACAGACACCCTGTGAGGTAGGTGGGGCTGAGAGAGCTCTGACAGAAACGGCTCTTGACAGAACAGGTCTGAAAGAACTTGTGACTGACCCAAGGTCACACCAGCAGCTGCATGTGGAGGAGTGGGGAATCAAACCCAGTTCTCTCAGATCAGAGTCTGCGCTCCTAACCACTATACCAAACTGGCTAGTCATGGGCTAGTCTGCTTACAAAAGCAGGGGCTGAGCTTCATGTGCTCTGCTTATTCAGTTCCACGTGCTGGTTTTCTATAACCCCTTCCTACCTAAAAAAACCCCCTGTTGCTTGTGAATACAGTGCCACCATTTTGGCTGTTATTTGAGCTGAACAAGGCCCCTTCCTTTATCCCTTCTTTCCTCCAAGGAGTTCAGGCTGGTCTCCATGGTCTCCCCCACTGCAACCTTATAACAACCTTGCGACATAGGCTGAGGCCCAGAGGAGAGTGTCTGGCCAAAGATCTCCCAGTGAGCTTCTTAGCAAGATGTGGGATTCGAGCCGGGTCTTCGCAGTTGTTGTCTAACACCCAAACCACGATGTGACTCTGGATCCCTACTTGTCACAAGAGAATTCCAGGCCCCACGTTGCTGAACAGCCTCATCACAAGACACCTTCCCCTTGGAATATGGAACACAATGTGATCCCGTGACCTCAGGGGGGTCACCCTTGACTTGGTTCCCGAAGGCCTAACAAAACCACATCGTTCTGTGTTCCCATAGACCTAGGGTTGCCAGTCTCCAGGTGCTTCCTGGAGATCTCACGCTATTGCAACTGATCCCCAGACCACAGAGATCAGTTCCCTTGGAGAAAACGGCTGCTTTGGAGGGTGGACTGTATGGCATTGTACCCTGCCGAGGTTCTGTCTCACCCCATACTCTGCCCTCCCCAAATCTCCAGAAATTCCCAACCTGGAGCTGGCAACCCTACATTAATCCCCATTGCCAGTCACCACTGCTTCAGCTTACCATGTAGCTATTGCCTTCAGATGCTGAGAGAGCGCTGTTGTTAGAATTGCTGTGTTGAAAAATGTTGGGGATATAGAGGTGCAGCCCCTGCAGGTAGTAGGTTGAGTGCATCTAAAGCTCAAAGGAAAAGGAATGTCATTAGAGAAACAGATGTTCCACTGGACAAGTCACCATCTCCTTGACTTGTCTATCTAGTTGAAGTGCTATCTAGTTGAAGTGGTATTTGCCATTTAGTCTCAGAGGCTAATGAAGACGGTTTGTATTTGCTGTGCACATGTCAGGCATGTGGAACCAATTTGCAAAGTTCAAGTTCATTAGTAGTATAAACAGCCTTTGAAACTTTTAAGCATCAAAAATGGATCAGGCTGGCCAGAACTGGTTCATATTAAATGCCCCGAAGAAGCATCTCATGTCCTCTGCCTAAAGCCTATTGATGCAGCCCTGACTGTTCTTTGCATACCTTGCCCTTCATTCCTTTGCTGCAATAGCAGTACCTTCCACCCAAAAAATATGCACACACTGCAGAACAGAGCAGGACTAGGAAGAGACACTCCTCGAGATCAGAATTCAGAGTGAATTTCAAAAAGAAGCAGCAATTCTTGCTTAAGGCTTGAGCAGAACATAAAGGAGGCAGGAGGAATGGAGTCAGCTGTCGTGAGAATTTTCCTGTTTGGATCAGAAAATTGTTTTTCCAATACTTAACATCTATACCCAACACATACAGCAGAATCAAAGAGAGCATTTCGGAGCTATCCCCCCTAGTCACGTATATGTAGGGCAGTCAGCATTCTTTCCCGTGAAGGCCTGATGGACCAAATAGTGGCTATTCAGGAGGGCAAGCATCTGGCCAGAGAAGCCTAATTTACATCTAAAGATAACACTGGAAATAGCAATTTGTTCATGTTAGATACGAGACTCGAGGCAGCAGGTGAACAGTGATAACAGCCTTATTGAACACGAAGTCAGAAGAACCAGAACAAGATAAACAATGGAGCAACAGGCTCCTTTTTAAACAGTCCGGGCTTGGCAAGCCACGCCCACATGTCAGATAAGGTCCAATCAAATACAGTACATAAAGACCAATCACTTTGCTTCCCTCCAGAATGTCCTTTGTTCTGATAGGTCAGCTTACAATACCTTGGTCAGGTTCAAGCTCAATACATTCATTACATTACATTTCATACACAACAATCCTCCCCCCTAAGACGAGACAACCCTTGAACAGTCATAATCCTTCAAGTAAGCAGGATGCTGCTTGACCCATTGGGATCGTCTTATATTTACCGTTGGTGGGGTAGGAGGAAGAGCTTCGGACTCCGTGTGAGTGAGCTCGGTTTGATTCCTTATGGGACTGAGTGTCCGTGGCCGATTTCCATAGTTGTGGCTCTGCTCGCCCTCGACTATGCCTCATCCTGTTCGGAGTCCGGAGACTCTAACTGACTGTCCAAGTCAGGTACATCGGCCACCTGGGGAAGGGAATCAGGGACTGAGTCAGCCCACCGCTTGCGCAACTGATCCACATGGCGCTTCATTACTCTACCATCATTTACTTTCACAGTATAGCAGATCCAATGAATATCTTTCCCGCTGGCGGGCTAAGGAAACGGTTGCGCGCCCAGTACATGGGAACCAGGCAGAACATCAGACAAAACACAGGTGCAGTAGTCCTGGGAAAATCAATAGGCAAGCATTACAGCATCTTCTCCCCCACACAACCTCCAGCAGTTATCTTTTGCATTCCAAAGCAGGAGCAGGATGATAGAAGCCAAGCCGGGTGTAACAGGGAAAGGATATGTACACAGAGGTCACAGAAAACAGAATGGCAGCTTGCTGACACCCTGCACCAAACGGCCCAAAGTCTCCTTTGTGGTCCGCACCATTCTTTCGGCCTGCCTGTTGCTTGCCAGGTGGAATGGTGCGGACGTGCTGTGGGCAATGAGGTTTGCTGCCAAAAACTCTTTAAATTCCGTGGCGGTAAAACATGTCCCATTGTCAGACACCAGGGTGTCTGGCAACCCGTGCGTTGCAAGCAGGTGACGTAAAACATTTATTACAGTTTGTGCTGTCGTCTTTGCTGTGGGGACCACCTCGAGCCACTTAGAATAAGCGTCTACTAAAATGAGGAAAACTTGGCCCTGAAAGGGGCCCGTAAAATCCACATGGACCCGGGATCAGGGGCAGTGACACTTCTCCCATGGGGTTACCGGTGCATGTGGAGGATCAGGCCAAGACAACTGACATTCCTGGAATTTCTGTACCCAGGACTCTATGTATGCGTCAATTTTCAGCCACCAGAAATACCCTCTGGCCAGCCCCTTCATGCGCACAATGCCGGGGTGGCATTCGTGCAGAGTCTCTAATACTTGGTCCCGTAGCTTAGGGGGAACCACCACCAAGTTAGGGGGAACCACCCCAGTGTAAGCATCCCCGGTGCACAGACAATTCATTTTGCCTTGATGCAAACGGCTTGAAACAGTCATCGACGTGCCCCACCATTCACCCCCTCCACACCCAGTTAAGAACCCTGGTGATGGTGGGGTCCCGGGCAGAGGTGGTCGCAATGTCCGACGCGTGCACTGGAGGTTTGGCCAGTTCTTCAAGGGCCATCACCTCGAAAGCCGGTGCAGGGTCATTGTCCAGTTCTGGCAGGGGACAGTGATTGAGGGCGTCGGCATGCCCCATGTTCTTTCCTGGCCGGTGCTCCAGGACATAGTCATAGGCGGATAAAAATACCGTCCAGCTCAACATCCACGCAGACAAGATGTTGGGCGTCTGGCGGTCAGGTGCAGAGATCCCAAGGAGGGGCTTGTGGTCCATGGCCATTACGAACAGTCTTCCATACAAAGTAGTGGAACTTTTTTATGCTGGCCACTAGCGCCAACCACTCCTTGTCGATTTGGGCGTAGTTCCCAAAAAAAGAAAACATACCTTGTAGCTAAAATATAATTCTTTAAGTGTAAATCAATGTTTTGTATGTGAACTCTGGAAAGCTTGAGAATATCCCATACGTGGAAGACCCAACTTGAGAACATCCAACAGATGTAATTCGAAATCATTGATCTTTTGTGTATCAATGAGACTTTCAGTGAAGGGTTTGGGGCTGCAGTCTTGAATTTTGGAGGGAGTTAACACTCCCCGAGACTTTCAGCCCGAGAATTCTCATTTTCAGGGAGGGAATTTTTATTGTCTTGCTGTGGGTTTATTTTCATCATAGTCACTTGGAAGGATAGGCATTGTTTCTGATTCCGGCCAAATGCCTTCTTGGCAGTTTGCCCAGATTATATCTTGCATTTTAACACTGACAGTCTGCAATAAAAAAAGCTTTATTTAAGGAATTTAGCCTTGCAGTTTATTCTAAGAAAATCCAGTGTTGTGTGCTTGCCTTGGCGAGTGGCAAAACAGTAAAAGAATCGAGCTTCAAGAGGGACCCCTGAGGGTCAGATGTCCAGAAATCTTCCCCACATCAGCCTTTGAAGCATATTGGAGGGGGGATCACAACTGCAAGCCCTGGAATACAGCAGATGGGGAATCTGAGTGCAGCACCGGGCTCTGCTTAGGAATAGGATAGGATGTCCATGGATTTCCTGCTCACGCAGGTCCTTATCCATCTGCACAGAGCTTAAGAAGGGCAAGGCAAGTGAGACCCTTCCCTCAGATGTACAAAGCTGAGGGGCACAGTGGTTTCCAAATATATCTTAGGGACAATTGGTTTTAAATTTAAATCTACACTCACTGACAGACAAACAAGGATTGGCATCCTTGTTTTAGAAAAATTATGGGAACAGAAATAGCTTCACTTTCACATATTTGCTTTTTAATGCACATTTCATTTCTGTTTTATTGTTGCCACATATCAACTTTACAGCTGTGTTATGGCAGGAAACAGGAATGGGGGGGAAATGAAACGAAAGCCACGGTTTTTATGTCTCCCCTCAGCTTCAATAACTCAAGTGACTGGAAACCTTGAAGCCCGATCCTATGTACATGGGGGGGGGGGGAAGAGGCAGGTTACAAATATTTAAATAAATAAAGTCTGTGCTCAATGGAGCTGATTCCCAAGTCACTGTGAATAGAACTGCAGCCTTTCTGCTAAGGAAAACAGAGAGGTTGTATCGGCGAAACCCTAAGCTACTTTCATGTTCTTTATGAGATGCAAAGGAGTATGGGACTCCTGTGCCTTTGAAAGCTGAGCTGCAGGGAGAATTTTGGAATGAGCAGTTTGTCATGCACAGGTTAAAAAAACTACAGCCTGTGGAAATTCCTTTTTCTACCCACCTATAAAAGATACAAGAGCCATCGCCTGCTTTTTATCACATTGCCCTAGTATACATATGGACCATTTCACACATTATTAAGCCGCAAACCGGGATTTGCCCTTGAACAACACCAGTAAATTCTGGCTCTATTTGAGGAATGGCACATGGCTTCCATAAAAATGGCAGCCCTGCATTGTGTTTCCCCTTCCGTAATGTCTACTTCAACTTATCCATGCTCTAAAATCATCACAATATACGTATTCCTGCCTCCAGTCCACATCATTGGTTGCGTATCAGAATGATGGCAGGACATGGATAGACTGCGATTTTTGGCAGCAGCCCTATATATGATTTATAAGTCTACAGTAGTGTTAGATACGAGACTCAAGGCAACAGGTGAACAGTGATTAACAGCTTTATTGAACATGAAGTCAGAAGAACCAGAACGAGACAAATCAATGGAGCAGCAGGCTCCTTTTTAAACTGTCCGGGCTTGGCAAGCCACGCCCACAAGTCAGATAAGGTCCAATCAAATACAGTACATAAGAACATAAGAACATAAGAGACGCCAATGTTGGATCAGGTCAAAGGCCCATCCAGTCCAACACTCTGTGTCACACAGTGGCCAGAAATACCAGTGCCATCAGGAGGTCCAGCAGTGGGGCCAGGACATTAGAAGCCCTCCCACTGTTGACCCCCCCCAAGCACCAAGAAGACAGAGCATCACTTGCCCCAGAGCCCCTAGCTATACCTTGTGGCTAATAGCCACTGATGGACCTCTGCTCCATATGCTTATCTAATTCCCTTTTGAAGCCATCCATGCTTGTAGCACCCACCACTTCCTGTGGCAGTGAATTCCAAGTGTTAATCACTCTTTGGGTGAAGAAGGACGTCCTTGAGCATCACTTGCCCCAGAACCCCTACCTATACCTTGTGGCTAATAGCCACTGATGGACCTCTGCTCCATATGCTTATCTAATTCCCTTTTGAAGCCGTCCATGCTTGTAGCACCCACCACTTCCTGTGGCAGTGAATTCCATGTGTTAATCACTCTTTGGGTGAAGAAGTACTTCCTTTTATCCGTTCTAACCCGACCGCTCTGCAGTTTCATGGAGTGCCCACGAGTTCTTGTATTGTGAGAAAGGGAGAAAAGTACCTCTTTCTTTACCTGCTCTTTCCC